CCGGTGGGTAATGACCCCGCCTCTCGGAGTGTCTGGGGTGCCAAGTGGCCGGGTCTTCAGACTGTCTGATGTCCCTCCTCTGCTCTCTTTGGGGTCCGACCAACCCTGGGCCCGGACTCTGCTACCTCTTAGCTCTGTGACCCCGGACCTCCCCTGCTCTGAGCCTCAGTTTCCCCATCTGGAAAGCGTGAATAGTGGGTACCTGTACCTCACCAGATCATAGCGCGGGGTGTGCGGGCAGGCACGTGGACTCAGCCCAGACGGCCTGGGTTCGAATCCAGCTCCGGCAGTTACTAGCTGTGTGACTCTGGGCAACGACGTCACCTCTGTGCCTCTGTTTTCTCCTCTGGAACGGAATGACATGGTCAGCGCCTCCAGAGCCATGTTTCACCCCCATTGGGGCCGATGACTGTGCGGTGGGGACTTTCCTGGGACATCATGGGACGCCGGACTGCAACCCAGTAGATGCTGGTAGCCTCCCCTTTCCTAGTTACGACAACCCAACCTGTCTGCAGACATCGCTGGGTGCCGCCCCTACCCCCACGAGGCCTGCCGTCCTAGACTTGGGTTTCAGCCTTGAACGAGGCCCGGAAGCACCGGCGGACTTGGGAACACACAGCTTTCCGAGAGCCGCCCTCACTCAGCCGGGCCAGGCCGGGGTGGGGCCAGGGGAGGCGTTTCTAGGAAGTTCTCAGCGGATGCTGATGCCGCCGGTCGGGGGGACCACACTTTGAGAATGAGCAGAGCAGTGTGGAGACCGAGATGTTTCAGAGAGAGACTCTACCTTCCTACCTGCACACGAGGATTGAGATTGTGACGCCTGGCACGTAACATAAGAAGCGCTCCGTAAACACCGACTGTTGTTTATTAATGTTATCGTTATTATTACCATATTTCATCAACCCTAGGAGCCACAGACAGAGGGAAGCATCTTCATCAGTGTGGAAAGATCCGCGTCTTAGAACCAATGAAATGCAGAAGCTTTAGTCAAACCCGCCACCAATCCAGACCTCAGGGTGCTTCACGGAGCCCCGGGCTCCTGGTGGACAGCCCTAGAATAGAGGAAGCCAGGGCCACAAGAGGTTGTCCAGAGCCTCTGGCCATTTAATGGGGGAAGAGGGTGGAGGCAGGGGACACGGGGAGCAGCAGAGCCGGGAGGCGGGTCCCAAGCCCTGCCCTCCATGTTGGTCACAGCAGACGGAGCAGCAGCAGCAGAATGCCCAGTGCCCTCCGGCTGCCTGCAGGGTTGGGGGCCCTATTACACAGGTGGCCAGAGCAGCAGGTAGAGATGAGGCTGTAGGTGACGCCCTGGTAGGTGACAGGCTCCTCGCGGCCGCACAACGTGGATGGCAGGCAGCCTTTGTTGATGATGGGGCCAAGGCCCGGGGATGTCCCCTGGCCCGTGAAGCAGTCCTCATCGTCACCGCAGTGCATGTGGGTGCCGGGGCAGCTCGAGGAGTCGGTCAGCTCACAGAACACGCACTCCTTGGTGCCCGTCGTGCCCCGGGGCAGAGCCGTCACCAGAAGCAGCAGCCAGCCGAGGACCATGGTGGCCTGGCGGCGGTGACAGTGCCCAAGCCAGGCCGTGGGCTTCTTGGGCCTCCTGGAACTGCTGAATGACACTCCTCACGCCCACGAGACGTTTGCCCTTGGTTCTGGCCTCCCGGGGTCAGCACGTGGGGTGTCCTTGGTTCCGAAGGCTCCGTGTCCCTCTCAGGAGCTCCGTCGTGACCACGGCTCTCGAGTCTTCGGGTCCCAGAAACTTCCGCGGGACGGAGACGAGCCAGCGGCTGCTGCCTGACGAGAGCCTTTGTGGAATGGGGTGACCTCACAGACCCCTCAGAGTTCCCACTGGCCGCTCCGGTGGGCGAGGTCATAGGTGGGGGAGGGGTGTCACAATCTGAGGGGCAGGCTGGCCGGGGAGTGAGTTCGTCACCACCCCTCCAAGGTAAGCGCACTCGGCCCACACTCGCCGGCCTGGCACTAACTCATCCGCTCTGCTGGGTGCTGGGTGCTGGGTGCCGTGCCCCCTGAGGCACAATGTCCACGGCAAACCAGGGCTCGGGAAGGGAAGGTGACACGTCCTGGGATTAGAGCCCAGGTCCTCTGGATTCCAAAGAGGGCATTTCCTGAGCACTCGCCGTGCACAAGACCCACACAAGGCACTCTAACTCGCAACCACAGTGGTGACAGGATCCGAGGGTGCCGCTCACCACAGCTCACAGGCCGTCAGAGCTGGGCACACGCCAGGCGCCATGCAGGGCACTCGACCGCCTTCCCTAGTTCGAATCTTCCTGTGTCGGTCCCCCTTCCAGACGGGCAGACAGGCACAGAGCAGGCACCGCCGGAGCCTGGCACGCAGCAAGTGCTTATGAATGGCCGTCATCACGGGAAGCGGCTGAGTCTTAAAACAGCCCCCGTGGGTGTCGGAAGGTGAACCCCATCTCTTTCCAGGCGGGGTAAAACTGAGGCGTCCCTCAGTGGGGACGGGTAGAGCCCAGGTTTAAACCCAAGTCTGAGTCCACATGATAATTTCAGCATCTTAAAGTGTTGAGCTCACATCAGCCCTCGGGTGGTGACCTCGGTGGCTTCCGTCCTCCAGAGGGAGATGTCGAGGGGTGGCAGGACTTGCCCGAAGCCACGGTCACACAGCCTGCCCCAAGACCAGGTCGAGGGCTGGTGGCGGGGGCCGGCCCAGGCCCCTGGGGCTGCGTGCAGGTCCTGACACCTGTCTCCGTGACACCCAGCTTCACGTGGAGCGATGCGCGCCTGCACCGTGGCCTGGTGACCCTGCTGACCGGGGAGATCGCCGATGCCTTCAGCCGCGAGTTCCGGACACTGTACGCAGCCTCCTGGCCGCTCCCTCCTGCACCCGCCCTGGGTCCCTTGGTCAGCACCCTGGGGATGCTCCAGCTGGCCCACAGCCCACACCACGTAGCCCATCGCCGCCCTGTGGCCCCCGTGTCACCGCCACCGCCCGACGCGTCACCGCTGGCCCAACGCCTGGCCGCCTGCCGGGTCTTCCAGGGGGACAGGCGGGAGCCCCCGGCCATGCCAGGGCTGGCACTCAGCGACATCCTGAGGAACGTCCAGCGCACCCCAACGCCCAGCGGCCCGCCAGCCCGGCCCAGCCGCTCCCTGTGGGACCTGAGCCGCCTGTCCCAGCTGTCAGGCTCCAGTGACGGTGACGGTGAGGTGAGCCTGAGGTCGAGCCACAGGGCTCCGGGGCGTCCGCTGTTTTCTGAGGGCCTACTGTGTGCTTGGCCCCGGGGAGGCGGGGGAGCCAAGCTGCTCACTCGAGTTTCTAACCGCACCGTCCGTTCCTTGTACCCCTACTGTGCGCTGGGCGGCGGGGAGTGCCAGGTGGCACAGGGCAGAGTCCCCGAGGGCCTTGCGTGCGAATCCGGCCGTGACATGCCAGCTGTGAGAGTGAGGGGTGGGACGCGCCTTCTCTGAACCTCAGTGTTCCCACCTAGGAAATGGGCCGGGCGGTCGCCCCAGCCTCGGTTTGGTTTGGACGAGGGGTTCCACAGAACGAACCAGAATGATAATCGTCCTCGTGATACGTTCCCCACGTGGGATTTATTTGTATTTATTTCCTGACGTCCTCCCCCCAGCTCGGGGAGGCCGTCCGCTTATCACGCCCATCTTCACAGATGGGAAAGCCGAGGCCCAGAGAGGCGAAGCGACTCGCCCAGGGTCAGAACGGCTGTCTCTTGTGGGCACAGCCACGTGTCCGGCCCCACGCCAAGCCCCTTCGCACAGGGGGTTCGGCCTAGACTGAGCCGCACTCCGAGGAGATGGGTGATATTCCAGCACCTCCATCTACCCATTGCCCAGGTGGGGAAACTGAGGCACCAACGGGGATGGGAAGCCAGCCCTGGTTGCCCCCCTTCCTGGTCTCAAGTATCATGAGCTCAGAGGGGGCCGCTCCCCCCCAACCCCCGCAGCTTAGACACAGGGCTCCAACATGGCCTGTCCCAGTTTTCTGGGTGACCCTAGTTGGGGCCTCCGTGTCCTCAGCTGTAAAGTGGGCTGTGGAGAGGGTGACACCTGTGCCATGTGGGGGAGACAGGCAGACTCGCCCCCAATGCAGGGGGACTGTCCATCTGTGAGCTGTGCCCGCTCTGAGCCTCAGTGTCCCCATCTGCTAAGTGGGAGCTAGGAGCCTCTCCTGAGGGTGAGGGAGAGAGAAATTTCTCAGGAATCGCCTCCCTCGGTTCCACAGAAGAAGGATGGGCAGGGCAGGGACAAGGTCCTCGCGTCCACCTGGTCCTCAGCCGCCCTCACCCAGCATCACCTCCCTCGGCAAATATTTGCTCCCCTGTGCAGCTGCCAGCTGCTTCCTGGTCCTCCGCAGCCGCAGAGCTGCAGGGGGGCACGCAGCTCCTTGTCCCCTCTAGAGGTGTGGGGATCCCAGGCTTCCCTCCTCACGTCTCTCCTGGTTCTAGAAGCTCAGGGGCCTCACCTGCCTCCTCCCTGACCACTTCCTCTCCCCTTCCACCCTCTCTCTCCCTGGCTCTGGGCCCCCCGGGAACCTGCCCTCACCCCCCTCTCTTTCTCAAGAAGTCCGGGGGCTCCAAAGACACCCCAGCCAAGGCCCTGATGAGGCAGCGGGGTGCTGGTGGGGCCCCCAGGGGTGAGGCCGGCCCCCCGCCCCTCACCTCTGCCCGCCGCCTCCGCTACCTGTCCCCCACCCGACAGAGGTTTGGTGAGGATGCTGCACCCAAAGCCCCGGAACCCAGAGGTGGCTGGCAGCCAGACTGGGCCCCCCGGGCGGGACTCGGGGCAGCCGTGACGAGAGCCAAAGCCAACTGGGCTGGCCCGACTGAGGAGATCCGGGCGACAGTCATCGCGAAGCCTCTGCCTCGCGGTCGTGTCTCTGGCCTCAGAGCAGAGAAGCAGAAGGATTTTTTTCCCCCGCTTATTCCAAAACTCGGGCAAGCCCCAGGCCCACGCTAGACCTCAGTGTGACGGTCTAGAAAGTGGGCGGAGCTCCGGGCAAGCCGGGATCCTAGAACTGCAGACAGCTGGTTCCCGCCACCTCCACACCTGTCCCAGGGGAGGCCTGGCTGAGGGGCCCCCACGCTGGACTGTGTGGGGTGAAGATGGGGCGTCTCTGAGATAAGACCGGGGGCTTCCTGACCCAGCTGCTCAGGAGTGTGGATAAACTGAGCTTGGCCACGGGGACTGGACCCTGATCCGGGGAGTGGAGCTTGAGTAATGAGGGACCGGAGGTGGGTGGGGACACACACACCTGCGTGGGGGAAGGGGGTGGAGGGGGGAAGGCCCGGGGCCATGGAGAGGGACCCAGCAGGCACCGGGGCTGTTTTGTGGCTGCTAAGGGTGAGTTGGAATAAAGCTCACAATAAAGCTGCTTCGTGCCTGAAACTTGAATTTCCACAGCCTAGAGGGAGACCCAAGAGTCCAGCCCCTGTCCCCTCCGTCCCCAGACCCCAGAGTCCCCGGCCCTCCTCCCTAGGGACCTAGGAGTCTGGGCCGCAGCACCTTTGCCTCTGGGCGGGGCTTCTGAGTCAGCCACGCCGTGGGCGTGCGGGGTGCGGAGGAGGACCGCGCCCTCCCGAGGCCCTGGGCGTGGGGTCCCCTTGCGGCCCCCGCCCGCCCTCGCGCGCCCCCCGCTGCCCACCAGCCGCACGCCACCTTCACGGTGCATGGAGGAGCCGCGGCAGGAGCTATGCGTTTATTCTCGGGGTCACGGGTGGGGGGGCTCGGGAGCCTGGGCCGGGCTGGGGCTGGGGTCAGGGCGGGGCTCGGGGTCCGGACTGACATCTTCGGGGTTCGGACTGACATCTTCGGGGTTCTCGTCCCAGGGGAAGGTCGGCAGGCCCCGCATCTGCTCGCGGTAGACGCGGTCGAAGGCTTCGCTCTGCGCCACCGTGAAGTGGTTCTTCCAGTCCCCGGAGACCCCTGGTGGGGAGGCAGAGGCGCGAGGTGAGGGGCCACCGGAGCGCCGTCCCCGCCCCCACGTCTCAGCACCCTCTTTCCCACCTCCGGGCCTTGGCCCGGTCCTTTGCCTGTGCCGGAGGCGCCCTGCTTCCCCAGCCCCATCTCCCTCCTGCGACGCTGACCAGCCACCCGGCCAGACCCCTGGGCACCATTCCCGCCCCCTCCGCCCTCGGCTCCCCTCTGCCCTGCTCGTCCTGCAGGCAGACCGCTCCCCTTCCTTCACTGCTCCCCTGCCCCCCCAAATCTCTCTGCCCAGAACATCTGCCTCCCCACGTAGCATGTGCGCACACCTTTAACCAACCCCCCAACCCCCCAACCCCCGTGAAAGCGTCGCCTCCTCCGTGACCCGTCCCTAACCTCGAGGACTGGAACAGGGCACCCTCCCCCTGGGGCTCCCGCAGCGCCCCACACGACTTCCATTATTGCTGTGGCATTGGGAATGGCCTCCCTCGGTGCCAGGCACGTGCTGGAGGTTTGGACAGAACCTCTTGGATGAAACCCACAGTGACTTAGCGGGCAAGGGGCGGGGACCCTGCAAGTCCCCCATGCCCCCCGCGTGGGATCCCCCCTTAGTCGGAGGCTGCTTATCTCATCCTGGGGCTCCACCCTTACCTGGCACCCTGGGGCCAATGTCACTTGGATCACCGTATTTTGAATTTTAGCAAGTGCACGGGCCGCTTATAACACAGCTCACGTTCCCTCCGGCACGCTGCTTTGGGCCCAGTGAGACGGATTTTGGATTCTGACCTCCAGAACTAGGAGAGAGTCCCCGTGTGCTATTTGAAGGCGCTCAATGGCTGGTATGTTGTCACAGCAGCAACAGGGGACTCACACACTCCTACGCGCACCCCGTGATCAACACCGGAGTGTTTCTGGGTGAACGTCAATGCCAAGGAGGATTCACGGAGACCCCCAGACAGCCGCCT